CTGGAGGTGATCTGGTGGATGAAGAAGACTCAGCTCTATCTCGTTAGACAGACTACAACCAGCACAAAGCCATAAAAAAATTGAGTTAATAAGATTATAATTTTAAATTTAAAGTTAATTAGATCACAATAATACAATAACAATACCTCTTCTTGCACGTTCATCATTTCTGTTGAAAATCCTCTCACACATCATCATCATCATCATCAGGGCAGGGCTTTAAATCTGGGGTCCAGGGCTTGTTGACAATATCACTTTATCTTTTTTCATAAAGTGCTGCTACAACTTTTTGGCTGAAATGTGATGGGATGTTGTAGCGGGGAATTAACTTTAAAGCTGGTGCATCAACAACAGAAATATGGACGTAGATCCAGAGCTTTAAAAACTCTTACAGCTTGTGTTATTGTTTTAGACCTATCTGAATTATCTGATAAAGGTTGTTTAAATGCTGCTGCTTTTGGTCTTTGTACCAAGCTGCTTTTCTTCCTTGTAGAAGAGACGTTCACGTAGGATGATGTCGTTTCAAGCTTTCACGTGTTGCCTGCTGCAGATCCAATCTCTGTGAAACAACGTTGACACACAGCTTTGGATTTGCATTTGTCTTTTCGCAAGAAAGCCATAATGTTCATAAACAGGAGACCGCAACGAGATGCTAGGCTGCTAATGCTAGCGTGCTGCAAGATGATAGCGCCGTGCTGAAACACGCTTAGGAACTTTAGTTCCACAGCGCATAATCTCTTGTTAATAAAATTTAATGAGTGAAAAAATAACCGAAACGGTACGCACGTGGACCGAACCGAACGTGCCGTACCGAAATGGTTCAATACACCCACATGTACCGTTACACCACGAGTATATGTGTGCACACACACACACACACTGTTTAGGCACAAATCAGCACCTTCAGTTTGTTTTATTGTTTGAGAAAATAGATTCTAATTGAATTAACTTTGAGCTGCAGTGAAACCTCATTACCAGCCTTTTTGCTGGTGTATCCAGTAAGGAGGCACAGTGACTCTCATGGAGAAGAAAGGGAAAGAGAGAAAATTACACATTCAGCATTGGTTTAAATAAGAGTATATAATGAGGACAAGAAAACAAAGCTTCTCATCTGCACATATACATTTTGAAGAAAGTAAAAAAAACAAAAAAACAATCATCTTCAGTGCAAGTTTTTCCTCAAAAAGTTCAGCTTTCTAACTGTGAAAGTGCTGTGTCATCATTGTATGTTCCCATATAATGATGAAATTTGAGCTCTCCATCACATGTGAGATACACCCAGGTGGAGCAGCCAGCAGCTGTGTAAACACCCGGGAGCAGTTTGGAATCGGTGTCTTGCTCAAGGACACTGTGGACATGGTTGGGAATTGATCTTGCGACTTTCTAATCTCATGTCGTCCGCCCTACACCACTGCCGCCAATCTAATGTCCTGTTTGGAGTACTGGTTAGCACATGCTTCCAATATTCTCTTAATTTGTTTGTGATAATCCTCTCAAACATCAGTTCATTCACTAACCATCATACAAAACATGGAAGCATCTGCACTGATGACCCATCTCTCCTTTAGTATATTTGTTTTAGTCTGTCTGATAGTGAGGAATAGGGATAAAATTCTTGGGACAATCAAAAAGTCAAAGACGGATGGAAAAGATGATACTGTTGGCAGCAGCATCTAGTAGAGGCTGATATGAGGACGTCTGCCTCGTTGAGCTGAGTTCAGCTCCGTGCCTCTTGGTGTTCTGACCTCCTTTATTCCTCTACTGCACTCTGTGCAGATACAGGGAGTGACTGAATGGAGTGGAGCGAGAGTCAGAGTGAAGCAGACGGAGCAAGTGAAAGGATGCAGAGCTCTCTGCGTGGAGGGGAAAGCCACTGTGATGTGACATGAAAAGTGGGATGAAGTGGGGGTGAAGCCATCTTGCAGGTGTTATCAAGTTAAGCCACAAACGGATGCTTGTAACCATGGTGACACAGTGGTTGCAGACAGGTCTTCAGCAAGGCGTAAACAGGACTGTGTGTGTTGAAAGAGGCTTCTGTGAACATTTGTTTTGTATGTCTAATAAATGTACTCACTTCTGCTGACATTTTGCCAAGTCCTGCTGCCTCATCAATATTGTTGAATCTGCTTTTATAAGCTACAACAGGGGATAGCAGTGTAACGGTAGTGGTGTTTTTTGTTCATTTCACTGTTTTAAACCTCCAAAGCTCATGCATGCTGTACGTATGGGAGTATTTGTGCATCTTTGACTCTTGCCCTGAAAGCTTGCATTTGCTCATTGTACATTATGGGCTGAAAACTCAAATAAACCAGAGGCAAACATAAAACTTCCAAGTACAGTAGTCCCTCGATACTTGGCAGTTCGACTTTTGCAAACTCACTGTTTTGCGGGTTTTCAACGTAAGATTGTACACGACACATGATTGGCAGATTGATGGAAGGTGACCAACCAGAGCATTGTGCTGAGGGGCATACTGGCCACTGGGAGCATTAGGACATTTCCCGGTGGCCTGGCCCGCTCGGTGATCGCCGAGGGGCCCCCTCCTTTCTCTTTCTGAGGCTGTCTTGTCACAGCAGAGCAGAGACACGGGCTGTTTTGTTGTGTGCTGCTGTGCTCTTTTAGAGTGTTTAGAGAGTTAGAACATTAATAACATTGCAAGAGTGTGGGAAAGATTTATAAAGCCTTGTGTATATGTATATATATATATATATATATATATATATATATATATATATATATATATACTAAAATTAAATTTAAAGGCCCTACTTCGTGGATTTTCACCTGTTGTGGGGATGTCTGGAATGTAGCCCTCGTGATAAGTGAGGGACTACTATTTAATGTCTAATTCAGAAAGCAGCCTTCGTGTCTAACCCCACATTGGGCTGATCAAACCTTATAGGGAAACATAATTTTTTGTTTTGAGTTGATTCAGTCGACGCTGATACGAGTTTATGATTGATTACTGGCAAAAAAGCCATCACCAGTGGTGTGTCCATACAGTATATTGATTGTTTATGGTGATGAGCAGCTGGTGGGCAGAGACTGCTTTAATCCTCTGTGTGTATGTGTGGGTTTGTTTATGTCTCTATGCCTTGACCGTGCTTAAACCTATAAGCTGATCTGGCAGCGTGTTTACAGAGATCTCAGTTTCAATCCGTCACTGTTGGCCCTGTTACATCATCAGAGTCCTCTCCACGCACAAGTGTTTGTATATAATTTTTTTTACATATTATAGATGTGTGTTTAGCAGGGTGGGCTCTGTTGACGGGGGGGGGGGGGGGGGGGGGGG